CATCATCATAACCTTCCTCCCCGTCAGCTCAAGGTGGTGGAGAGCGAGCAGCTGCATCAATCCATCAATCTTTCCTTGCGCCAGGCGTCCATCGAAGGACATGGCCCTGTTTGAGGCCGTTCTCGGCCAACGTAGCGTCGGGCCGCGGGTGAGGTAGCCTGGTGTGCAGCTTGAGCCGCCGGGTCTCGACCGACGGCGCCACCCGCACTTCGGCCAAGCAGTGGGGCCGCGCGTTGGTGACCGCGAACAGGCGCTCCAGCGTGTCCGAGGGCAGCACGCTGACGGTCTCAGTCCAGCTGTCGGCCCACTTCAGCAGGCCGGGCGGCCCACCCCCGTCACCAGCTCGAACTCGGTCTCGTCCTGTAGGCCCGGGTGGGTGGTCAGCGAGGAGGGACCCGAGCTGGACACCTGTGGCGAGGCGTCGGAGGCAGACATCATGTGGTTGTGAGGAGTGCCCATGTGGGATCGACTATGGGCTGGCCTATGCAACGCCGCCACGTCAGCAAACAAGGCCACAGCGCGAAAGGTGCTGCAGTGAACAAGAAGTGGAGTGCCTGGCCAGCGTACCCTCTTATCTTCTCAGCAAAGCAGCAGCGCAATGGACCACCAGGACAGCTTGCTCCACTTCCCCTCCTACTCCCCGTCGTCGTACACGCCCCTGCCGCCCTTTCCCTGCCCAGCTCCCAGCACCACCAGCAGCGGTCATGGGCACAGGGGCAACCCCGCCCTCGTCGAGGAACTGCGGCAGGCCGTGGCCCTCCAGACAGGCCACCCCGAACCCCCCAGCTCATCTTCCTCCTCTACTCGCGTACCCCCCTCCCCCTCTTTTTTCTTTCTTTTTATTCTTTTAGGGCTGACTGTGTCTGGGACAGGATCGGTTGGACTACTTTGGGTTCCCGGCCACCACCGCCACCATCCACTTTGACGAGGTACGCACGCACTGTGAGAGACACAGACTCGATGCAGATGGCTGACGGGCGGCACCGGCGCTGCTGAAAAGGACAAGCACCGGGTGTGGTACCCGCACGAGAACTACATCCCTGTCAACCTGCACCTTCTCGCCAGCACTCTTCTCGATGCCGTGGTGCGTGGCGTCGATTCTGTGTCGCATCTCGTTCCGTGCCTTGTGTGCACCGCTCGCGCGTGTCGTGTTGTGTGCGGTTGCTCCGATTTTTACGCTCACGCCGACTCACACCAGAGCAAGATCGAGGAGGAGACCGGGAGCCGGGGCCTGCGGCAGAGCTTCGAGGAACTATGCGGGGTGTACCTCTACGTGGTGCAGGCCAAGCACGAAGCCCTCACCCGCGAACTGCAGCTCTACCAGACCCTCTTCAACCCGGCCTTGCGCCAGGTAGCACCTCGCCTTCGCCCATCCTGTCGAACATTGACTGACTCACAAACAACACACACGCACACACATGTATGACACACCGCACACACATGTATGACACACACACGCACACGCACACGCACACACGCACACACAGAGCGATAAGCACGCAGCGGGGCAGGGCGGGGTTGAAGACGAGACGAAGCGGCAGCGCATGATCAACAGCTTCATCCACAACTTTGTGCGCACCATGCGCAAGGCCAACTTCAATCCGCTCACCCAGGAGCAGATCAAATTCGCAGCCAACCCCGAACAGGTTCATACGTCGCACTACACGACACACGCACGCGACACGCGACACACACAGCACACTCGACGCACACGGCGCGCCATCGCACACGAGTGTTGATAGGTGGTGGTCTTTGGTGGGACATCAGATCTTGTTTGGAGTGCCGATGCGCATCGACTGGGACAAGCTGGATTCAAGCTTGCTGGAGGCCTACTTCAACTCGGTCGACGAACCCGACATTCCCCCGCCTCCGCCCTTTGCTCGCAACGTAGGCCCTGTGTGTCGTGTGTCGTGTGTCGTGTGTCTCGTGTCGTGTGTCGTGTGTCGTGTGTCGTGTGTGTGGTCTCTGGTGGTGACCACGTGTCTGTGTGTCAAGTGTTTGGTGTTCTGGCGCGGAGTGGGCGTACAGAGGCGGACCGGTCGCTTCGTGCTGGCCAAGCTCGACCTCCTCATCCAACGCGGGCTCAACATCTTCAAGGCCGCGCTCAGTCCCATCCTCCCCTCGCCCAAGGTACTCACCGCGACACGCGCACGCGCGCACGCGCAGGCGACTCACGATCGCTACTCGACGGTGACAGATACGGATCAGCGATGGGCTGGCATCGATGGCGCAGGACTACATGAATACCGGGGCGGAGCCCGAGCAGCCCCACACCAGCATCCACCTGCCTCGCTTCATCGACCGCAAGACGCTCCTCACCACCGCCGGTACCATCTTTGCTCACCATGCCGTGCAGCCATCACCAAACCACCACTCATTGCACTCACTCCCCGCCGCCCACGGCGCACGACACGACACGACACGACACGACACGACACGACACGACACGACACGACACGCACAGCGTCGCTGTTCGAGGAGGTGACAGTAGAGGAGCCGACGTACAAGGAAGTGGTGCTTCTGTTCAAGAAAAAGAAGAACAGCAGCAGCGGCAGCAGCGGGGAGGACCAGGCCCACTGCAAGCCCGACGAGAACGCCATCTTCATCCAACGGTCGGTCTTTCTCGTCTGTCCTCTCCTTCCCTCCGCGCCTCGCTGTCATTGACATTGTGTGCGGGCGTGTGTGTGTGCGTATCGGGTGTGTGTCGTGTGTCGTGTCGTGTTATAGGTTCTACGATATTCCAATGAAGAATCTGCAGGTGGTGTTTCCGCTGCAGCAGGCCGGATGGAACTGGGCCGACATGGTGTCGTTCCTCATGCTCCTCTCCTTCTCCGTCACTCTCGCCTTCAAGGCCTTCTTCACCCTCGCCCATTCCACGTACGTCTCTTCTTGGCGTCGTGTGCGCAAGCGCGAGTGCGAGTGCGAATGCG